GGGGGGTACTCCTCGAGCACCCCCCCGACCCCGCTATTGGCGCTATCTGCCAAGCTGACAAGGCGGTACATCTGAGGCAACCCTTCCACGGACTACGAAGCTTCCACATGTGCCGCAGGAAGAACAACATTTCAACAAAAGCGTCGAGACAGCAAGCCTCCTGCAAAGACAAACACAGGAATCGCACTGAGACCACGCAATGCCACAGCGTCTCAAGCAGGCAGCGGTCTCTTCTGTTACAAGTAAGAAAAGCTACAAGCATGACCCGACGAGATATAAGAAGGACTATAAGAAGGTCCAGGTGAACAGCAGGGCCTGCACATGTTGCGACTTTAACAAGCCAAACAACTTGAAACAACCTTTATGAGATAGCTATAACTACCTACCGTACCATATACCAACATGCTGGCAATCGAGTTGGCAGTCGTATCAACGGAATGCCCGCTTGTCTCACGATCGTGGAAGTAGCTTTCAAAAAGCGCAGTGGTCTGCCAGCAAATTTGCGGCTTCGTCTTCCGTCTCGGACAGAGGATTGTGCACTGGTGACAGGAAAGCAACACCTGCGCAGCCACGCTCGTCGGGAAGTCGCCAAGCCCTCGACAGTATTTCTTCACTGACCTGCGCACTGACAGAGCCGGGCTGTCAGGCTGGAAGAGAGGTGCAGGCTGAAAGGAATGCTGTCGGCCGTCTTCGAGAACACCAACCCGCAAAGAGAAGCGGGTGAGGCGCCGCACCCATCGTGACAGCAGCAACCTCTCAACTCGCTTACTTGCTTGGCCTCGCATTCAGGCGACTCTCGGCGGAGTGCTTTGTACTGCCGTACGGTGTCGTACAGTTGCAGTCGAATGGGGACGCACTGGATTCGCTAGATGCCAAGTCGCATTCAGAAGTGAGACTGTGCTTTTTTTCCTCGGAGCCCCGACGGTTAGAGGAGTTGTTTGTTCAAATTGCATGTTCCTTTATTTTTGGCTTCCTCGTTGAACTTGCTTTCCGATACTTGTCTTGCTTTGCTTTCGCATTCTACTGCTTTGCTTGCTTTGTGTCCTCAGGGTCCACGTCGCGGATTCTTTCTTGCTGTGTTTGGGTTGAGGACCCTGGAGGCGGCACCAATGCCAAGGCGTGCCAGTCGGAACATTCCTAGGCCGCGACGAAGGATAAGGCGATGCCGTAAAGACAAGGCAGAGCCGGCTTCGGACGTTCAGCCATGTTCAGGTCAAAGGCACTCCGACGCGCCTCATAGACAGGCCCTTCCTGCAGGGCAAGCCGAGGCAAGCCGCAAACGTCGGCCGGGCAGAGAAGGTCAAACAAAACAGAGGGAGCCCGACGAGTCCAAAACAGAACGACAAGTGATCCAGGGAGGAGGGCTCGACACACAGTGAATGCGGTGAATGCTGCACTGGCAGCGTGAGAGGATCGACGGTATGATAGAGGATGGAAACGATTGGGCAAGATGTTCGATTTACATGATCGGACACATCATCGGAGAAAATATCGGAAAATCTCACGATATCTGCCGTCTGCTGCTGACACATGCTGACACTGCCTCACCAGCACGCCACACTGACCCTGGTCCATGGTCCAAACAATCCAGCTGCAAGCTTGCTACAAACTTCTCACCGCATACATAGCTTTCACAGGCTCTTCGCAATGGTCATCGCAGCCCCCTTCAAAGCCTGAAGCGGAAGTTCCCCACAGTCTTGCACTCTGATCTAACCTCAGAATTTCAATTGGTGCCGGGCATGAATGCGTGCTGTGAGTGCTACCAATGGCAGACACTAGATTCCAGACGTGTTTTGCATTTTCGATGGGCTCCGTGCCGAAGTGCCGCTGCTGTACTTGCGACAGTCCTGGGCGGCAAAACCACAAGCAATTGACAGGTGTAACAGTGTAACTGTATTGAACTGCTGTAGCAAGTGCTCGTTGCCTTGATGGCAAACTCGATCTCGTTTTGCATGACTGGAGGCCTTCGTCTGCTCATGTGTGCTCAACAAATCGCAAAACATGCGGTCTCAGCTCAGCGCAGATTCTCTATATTGAACTCAGTGGTGGGACAGCCCTGAATACGAATCCAACATGACATCATCTGACGTCACGGTAACAACAGCAATTTCGATGGTCTGGCCATGCCTCTGGGGCGTTCTCACGGACACTGTCACCAGATCTTCCAGATTGAAAACAATGCTGTGTGCAGAAGCTGTGATAAGCTGTGCTGCGTGCAAGCTGGCCTGGCGTACGGGTCCAACACCATTCGCCGCGCCCGCGGCGCCTCGACAGGAAGTCTCTGCTTCATACCGCAAGGTTTCCACAAGACTTTTTTCCTACACCGACGTGCTTTCTTCTCGCACATACCCCTTCGAGTCCAAGTGAACCTGCTTAGCAGGATGTGCTTTGGAATCGAAAGGTGTCCACCCCGAGGCACAGGGGGGGATCACAGGGTTGTTGGCGAGGCCGGCGAGACGCTGTGGAGGAGGCCGTGCTGCAGAGAAGGTCCCGCCGAGTGGGTGCACGGCCCGGTTTGGTGTCAGCGATCTGCCAGCCCAATCGGAGCAGCGAGCCCGGCCAGACTTGCTTCACTATGGTCAACGCGAAGTTCTGGCCGGCTGTTGAATTTCTTTAATTGATCAGAATTTGCACAAAGACATCGTCGGGGCCTGTATGCCTTTTCTGGCTATATCAGAACGCCGGATAATAGCTACCCGACCGATCCGATGCAAGCCAAAAGCTGGAGAATAGCAATGCCGAGTGCGTGCGTTGTGCAGCAGGGGTGCTTTGCTGTTTGCGACAGGTACCCAACGAGTAGCTGTTGGAGTTTGCAGCACGTTTTCGCATGTGTGCCCTTCTTCCCTTCCCTCTCCTCTCCTCCTGTCTTTGCTGTCCTATCCTTTTCGAATTGCATTTTGCTTTCACCCGGCCAGGTTACAGTGGGACTTTTGTGAGCATTGAGCAAGCTCAACCTGGGAGATGCCTCGCAGATTCAGGTGGCTCGTTTGCGCAGAACGTGGACAGCCTGCAACACCTACATACTTCCAGCAGATCGAGCAGGACCGGTCCAAAGTTGCTCTTGCTGATTTGGACGCATTGCTCAAGGATTCGGAACCTTCGGGATGTGAAGACCCAATTTATGGGCCCATGCAGTCAGGCAAGTGCAACAACAAGGTCCCATGCCCAAATGGGGCCCACCAACTTGTAGTAGACTTGCGGGGCGAGAGGGATCGAGAGGGTTTGTGGTGGTTCGCCTCGACTTGCCAGCAGGTGAAAACTTGAGGGTGCCTCCTGGGCGAGGCCCAGGAGGCGGCCGAGTCAGGGGTAGACCCCGGGCTCGCGGACCTCCCGCCAGTGATGGCGGACCTCAATGTGGTGACAACATGCCGCTTATATCTTGCCGGTGGATCTGGTACGTGGCCCTGCGCCGGATCTAGCGGACCCGACCTTCCAGGTTAGCTTGCATCAGGAGTTGCAGTACCAAGTCCCGAGAGGATCTTGGGGATGGCCCCTGGGGGCCCGGCGTAAAGCGCAGAAGTTAAGGCACAACATCGCAAGAATTAAGCAATAAGTGGGAGCCGTGGCTTGACCAAGGGACGCGCATCGATCCATCTCACGAAGAACAACAGTATACTGCGGCGTTGGTGTTTGCTATCGCGACCTCAATGTCTTGGTGGGTGGTTAGGCTAGGCTAAGCCCGCCTGCAGGTACCAAGGTGGCCTAGCATCCAGGCGGTGGGTCGCCGCTAACATTGGCTGCAGCTTCGGCCGGAATCCCTGCGAGAGTGGCTCATGCATGGCGCCGATGGCAACAATTTGCAGCACCTCCGCCAGGACTTGCACGAATTGCAACGTTGTGTCCTTGTCTGCGATTGCCCTGTGCATGCGACGTGTGAGGCGGACATATTGGCGGGGTTGGTATTCGAGGAAGGCAGATCAGCGGCGGAACGTCTTGTGGGGGGAGCCTAGCAAGCGGAGACGTCGTGCGGCTGGCGTAGCCCAGCGCATAGTGACAGCTTTGTCGGGAATCCCAGCCACGGTGGCCCAGGTTATCCCCTACAAGACCCAAGAGTCCTTGGGAAAGCAGCACCTCAGGACTTCCTGAAACCTCTTTGTCCGTATCACGTGTCTCAACACGGAGGGCAGGAGAAGCAGAGGCGGCGCAAAGGCAACTAGACGGAACACTACTGGGCAAACATAGTATGCTACATATGCTGCTTCTGCTCGGGGTCGAACGCATTCCTGCCAGCCCTGACGGAAGAAATACGACATCCAAGCCTGCCGCTGGAACTCAACCGGGGGCGGACACTGCACCTTCTCCATGCGTGCAAGTCTACAACTAAGCTCGACGAGTGACGAGAACCACGAGAACCCATGCCTGTGATTCCGGGCCGGCTCCGAGATTAGCCTGCCGCCACCAATGCATCATGAACTTCGCTTCTTCAAACTGACAACGACAAAACGACTCAGCAGGGCTAGAAACCCCAGCTGAATTTGGCTCGCCTTGATCTTTTTGTTCAAAAACCGTCACACACTCAAGACTTTAACGCTACAGCTGGGCTGCAGCAATCATGAAAGACCTAAGATTCCCTCAAATCTGATGGAGGCCAGATGCCGTGCACTGCAAGCGCCCGCCTCTGTGTCCGAGGCGTATGCGTCAGCTTCTCGCAGACTGTCAAAGCGATCCCCTTGCAAGATTCAATGTCAAGGGATGTCAAGGGCGAGTCAAGGGTCAGTGACGTGCACACAGCCAGCCCAGTGATGTGTGCCTGGTAGGGCAACGGGCGCGGCGGCTGGGCGCACGGCCGGCACCTGACTCTCGGGTGGCCTACTGCAAACTGCAAAAGAGCTGTTCACGACAAGCCCGCTGATCGTCAAGTTCTGCAAAGTTCCGTTAGCACGGCGCTTGCCACTCCCAGCGTCCCGCCTGGTCCACGTCCACAAGCCTTGGAGAGTCTGCATCTTCAGCAGGCCTGCATCAGACACGGCGAATGCAAATCAATGGAGACAGTATACGGCAGCACAACCAGAACACAGCTCAGAGTTCGATAAGCATCCGGCTGAAATTGGGAGTCAGTCACCCCGCATTCAAATTTCATTTCATGCTAAGACAGCTAAGTGTTGTACAATCTGTTCGCTTTGGCTGCTCAGTCATCATCGTATGTTGTATGTTTGGATCAGGTCCGCTGGTGTTGTGGGCTGGGGTACTGGCTGGGGTGCTGTGTGACACGGTGTCCAGCAGGGACTTATGATTCGTATCAGTCAATGCCTGAAAGCTAAGCGGGAGCTAGTTCATGGAAATCAGGCACGGCTCTGCTTAAGCCATGCTGCCGGCAGCCACAGCATGAACAACACGAATGACTCGTCGTATTGTGGACAGAGGCCCCCCAGGAAGAGGCAAAACGAGCCAAACTCCTGCTCGTCCTCCTCCTCCTCCTTCCTCCTCCTTCCTCCTACTCATTCTGGTCGAAAGCAATGTCATTGAAATGCAAACAGTCGAGCGTCTGGGTGGAGCCATTTACCTGCATCAGGCTTGAACATGTTGGACATTGCACTGTTTCACCGGAATGACTCCAGTCACCACGAGATCGATCCATGTAGACCTGCATCAATCGCTGGGCGACAACATCTAGAACGCGGCCAAAAGCAACTTGGTGTGATCTTTATTGAAAACCGTTGTTGATCCTCAATACTGACCTGCAGACTTGCGGGTGCGCATTGATCAAACGATTCGAGCAGGCTCTCAGTACGACCGACACGACGACTTCCAGACACATGGGTGTCCGAACTTGTGCCTTTGTCCAGCAGCTGCAGGAAACTGGCAGGAACACAGACCTATCTTTTAGTCCTTCCGCACACAGGCAACAAGAGTAGTGTGAGTTGCACCTAGCACAATTCCAACATGTTCCAACCACCAGCTTCAGGTGAACGTGTCTGCTTGGCTTTGTTGGCCTGGCGAAGGCCGTTGCCCAGCAACCACTCTGTTTCCGCTGTGACGAAACCTACCAGCTCATGACATTCACGGAACAACCAGTACAACTTTCTGCACCGATGGTCCGGAGAGCCGAGCTCCAAATCTGCAAAGTCGCGTGATCATTATACCAGAGACGGTGCGGGCATGAGGGCGGGACGTTTTCTCTTTGAGCGCTTGGTCGGCGTGCCGCTGCAGGCTTCCACAAGTGTTTCGTCGTTGCCGAAGTCCGAAAGCTGGACTTGCTTTCATTCATTTTATTAGCATCAGAGTGCAATCAAAGAACTTTGTTTCCCTGTCTTGGCCCTGAAACTGCCTGCGACTCCTCACGTCCGAGTTGCAACTGCAACTGCCTATTGCGGCCTGGTTTGAAACACCTGCCGGACAAGGCCCTGCGTGATGTACAGCTCTCGCCGCGTGATGTCACTGCTGCGGCTGCTATTCTCTCGAATAGCACATCTGCACACGGATCATGCCAGTCAACCCTCATGGACAAATCTGCAGCCGCGCTGGTGAAGCAAGTTAAGCATGGAATGGTCATGGCATGCGAAAAGCCCAGCATACCCCTTCATGGCAGCAGAAACTAATTGTCGCTTCTTGAAGCAGGGGCAGGCCAGAGAGTTCTGCCCTCCTGGACTCCCCTCCTGGACTCTTGGTGCCCGCATTCCCTGCTGAAAATATGCTGCAAAATTGTTGCCACGCTCAGTCGCTCCCTCCGCTGCCTCTCCGGTTTTCCTATGCTTCATGAAAAAGCCTTTGCTCCAAGACCTGTTTCTCCACTTCCGCATGTTTCCACTGCGGCGCAAAGACTGGGTGAGACAGTGAAACGAGCCGTGCAATCGATCATGACTGCAGCAGCACGTTGGCTGGCCGGCTGCACATTAACGTCACGGCTTGCAAGCTCGCTTGGCTGCGCGAGAAGCATTTCATTGCAGAAGCCGTATTGAATTCCCACGCCCGCAAGCAAAGCTCATAACTCGAAGAAATTCCACACAATAATGCAACCATCCTGCATCGTGCTTCACCCTGTGGATCTCGGAGGGCTGGTTTACTGCTGTGGGCACTATCTTCTGCCACGCTCTCGATTGAATACCGATGGACTCTGTTAAATGCCATGTCCGACAGAAATGCTGTTTCCGGCACAGCGCCCCACCCTCCGCGGTAGGTTGATTCATCCGTCCGCACGGCAACGCAGAACTGTGTCAGACAATGACAATGTTGTTCGACCTTTTGCACGTCAGCCTTTTGCCGCTTGTTTACATTTGCGGGTGACTCTTTCTCGGGCTGGGGTGTTTGAGCTTGCAGGCTCCTACTTGTAGTGCACGAACCCCAGCGACGCAGAGTGGGTATGGTGGAGCGGTCAAGGCCAAGACCTCATAAGGAGAGGTTTCGACCCCTGAATTTAAATGGACAATGGCGAAGCAGGGGCTTACCTTATGAAACCAAGCAGAGCAACAGCAGACGAGCAACAGCAGACGGTGTCTCAGGAGGCCCGACCTTCCCTGCACTGATGACCTGCTTCTGGTCTGGGCTCCAGCGAACCTGCGACACCCCACCTGCCATTTGCAATGTGCAACACTTTACAAGATGTACGAACTCGGCCTGAATGTCCGTCGCATTCCTGTACGCATTGACACGAGACCAGGTCGTAGATGTACATCCTTGCCGGCTGACCAAGTGTAACTGCATTCCGTGTTGCCTCCCTGCGGCCGTTGCATTCAGCTGTCCTAGAATCATCGCAACCCGCCGCGATGTAGCGACCATTCGGGGACACTTCGCAACACCGCCTTACATAATTCCAGATCTGCGTGAAAACTGAATACCGTTTTGCCAAGCACAAGCATCCGGTGCGTACAGTATGCATGTATGTGTCTGGTGTTGGGGTGATCAAGCGTGTGCGAACGGTAGTTGTAACAACAGCAAGAGCACATCACTATCTGTCTATCTGTCCGTCCGTCTGTCTGTGTCTGTCTGTCTGTCTGCCTGCCTGTCTGGCTCCATCTGTCTGTCTGTCTGTCTGTCTGTCTGTCTGTCTGTGCGTACGCACATACATATTAGTATACAAGTATGAATGTAATGTAGAATTCAGGTGTGCGTGCATGTATGTATGCATGCATGCGTGCATGTATGAACGTGTGTATGCATGGATGTATGTATGTATGTATGTATGTATGTAAGTGTGTATGTATGTATGTATGTATGTATGTATGTATGTATGTCCGTCTGTCTGTCTGTCTGTCTGTCTGTCTGTATGTATGAACGTATGTATCTAT